TATTTTTTTTTTTTATCATAGTAATATTATTGTATATAGGATGTGGCAAGTCAGTGATTCGGACTAACTCATGGAAAGGCACTTTTTTAAAACAGTGAAGCCTAAAATTACTCATAAAACAGAAATAACTTTTTTTTCTTTTTACATTTCAGCACCTTAAATAATGTTTTGTTAAAAGGGGATCTGATACTGCACCTGACACATGTTCCTCCATTGCGGCAGGGAAGGTGTTGGCATACGGGTGGGTCACAGTTCTTAATGTTCCTCCCCTTCACTGCTTGACCAACCAGGTCAATCTCCACTGAGTTGACCTGAAATTCCTTGATGCAGCCAATGAATCTCCTCTGCTCTTTTCCTCTTTCACCATGCCGCTCCCAGTGGGATGAAACATCCCCAAAAAAAATGGGTCCAAATGTCCTCTGCAAAGAACAAACAAAATCTTAAAAGTGATTTTTCCTCAATAAATTAGTCTTTGAAGTTAGAAAATACTGTGTGTAACAGTCAGGGGTGTTGCACCAGTGGGGGCGTGGGTGTTAAAACACTCACACTTTGGGTTGTAAGATGGTTTTATTTTCACACTTTTTTTTCCAACAGCAGTCTGTTTCCTCTGTTTTGCCTTCACTATATTTGCCCCATCCCTCTTGTTCCTCACCTCCCTGTTCTGTTGCTCCCGAAAAATTAACACTGGCTGCTGATTGGCTGCTCTACCTTAAGTCCTGCCTCTTGTTTTGCGTTTGTCGTCATTCATTTTGTGTTGGGAAAACACCAAAACGAGAACTTCCTCAAATTAAATCCTCAAGATGCTAACATATACTTTCTCCAGATGTGCTAGCATATTACACATGAAAAAAAGTCTCAGTCATGTTAATCAGATTCATGGCACTGTTAAGATTTTAATTGTCTTTGTTACTTAATATAACCAAGATATTGAAAAATTATAATACTGATAGCTTAGTTAAATAGAAACCCTGCAAGTGATATTAATGTAAATAAAAACCCTGTTTCAATGGTAAAACAAAAAATCAAACAAACAATAAATATTTTTTAAAATAAACTTTTCAGTTAAAGTTTAGCCATAAAGTATCTCGTCTGAGTAATGAGGCAGGGCATTGTTGGCCTAGTGGGTTTAGAACAGTGTGCTTGTGCTCTGAAAAGGTTGCAAGTGCCTGGTTTGATTCTCACAATCTCCACTCTGGGTTCCTGAGCAAGACCCTTGACCCCTGATTGTTTCCCGGGCGCCGCATAATGGCAGCCCACTGCTCCCCACGGGGATGGGTTAAATGCAGAGGTAAATCTCTCCAATGTGAGATCAATAAAGTTCAATCATTATTGGGTACTCAAGAGTACAAAAATATTTGGTGAAAAGCAGCTATAAGTAATTGAAGATCTGATTTTATATTGGCAAAATGGTGTAAAGTAGCATAAAACATAAAGATATTTTATATAGTTTATCCCAAAGGGAAATTAAGTCTTATAATAACTTATGGGCTATTTCTTCCAAGTTTTAAATAGATTTTTTTATTCATACCTTCTCACATTTCCATGTTTGTGGTATGAAAATTGAACTGAGGCCCAGTTCAATAAGATACTATAGAAAAGAAAGGGAAAAAGATTAAACCTAATTATGTGTGGCTCGAATTTAGCAATCTAACAGCTGCATGATAGAAACTGTTTCTGAGTCTATGCGTCTTGTTCTGCAGGCTTCTCAGCTGCCTTCCAGAGGAGAGGCCCAGAGAGTCTATTCTTTCACACCAGAACAGTAGCTTTTTACCAGTCCACTCTTCATCTTGAACAGTGGACTGGTTTAGGGGAAAAAATACAATATTGTTAATTTAGGTTAAAAACACCTTTAATCAAAGAGAGCAATGAGTCCTTTGCATCACTGTTTAAAAATGTTAGTCCACACTTTGCAAAATGAAAAAAATGCCTACATTTAGCTGAATTGTGCTTGATCATTACTATATGTTTTCTTTTAAAATATTTGGTAAAAAGCAGAATTAACTATTCAACCAATTATGTCAAGACCCTTAGTTTAAGCACCAAATTTGCCACACACCGATATTTCCTGTCAGTTTAACTAATTGTGAAATGTTGTCAAGCCAAATATAAAAAGGCACACACATTCTAGAAACATTTTATTTTCCTGTCAGTTTACAGAATATATTTCATAATGTCCAAGGGATCATAAAGATCTTTTTGGGTTATTATTTTATTTTATTTTTGAATTTGCTGGAGTTTTCACCTTCAAACTCTACTATAGATGACATTCTTGCCCAGGCTCTTTCCTACTGATGAATTTCAAACACTGACTTTAACTGAGGCATGTGAAGCCTGTGAGGCCTGTGGTGCCTTAGATGTTGTTTGGAGTTCTTTTGTGAAACTCGTCGATGAGTCATTTTTGCTCTCTTGGAGACAGGACACTCCTGGGTATGTTCAGAACTGCTCTATGTTTTTCAATCGGGGAATAATGACTCACAGATTTTCGATGAAGGCCAAAAGCTTTATCAATGACTTTGGGTATGTTCCAAACTGAAAGGTCTTTGTTTTGTGTTCTTTTATTTCTTGATGTCTTTTCACCTACATAACATTGATGAACAGGGATTTCTTGTTCTATTGTCTCTAGCTATTTTTAAGCTTTGTAGTTGACTGACAAAATTAAATTAGCTGATTTAAAAACACTTTTATAAATGACAATAAAGTTCTCAGTCACTTTTTAACAAAGTTTTTTTTCCTTTTAAGTCAAATCATAACCTTAACCTCAAACTCCTTGTTGTGTTCATGCTTTCCACCACTTTTGTTTTTTACAATCAGAAACATTTCAGTGTGCCTAAAAAGGATGAACAAATTAACATTTGCAAATTACTTTTTATGGCACTCCGGCTAAACAAATTAAAACAGATATCTCACTTGGATGGTAAACAAGAAGAAGCCTTTCAAAAACAAACTTCAAAAGTTTAGAGAATGTGGAAAGGTCTCTATCATAAGTAAATTATAGAAAGCAGCAGAGGAGGTGTTGGTGGAGGGTCACTAAAGTGTCTACATGACTACATAAATATTTAGGATGTCTGCTTAATGCAAGCTTTTGGTGACCTGACCACTGGTCATCTGAAAGCACATAAATACATGAACGGCAGGATTCATGGGAATGCTATGTTCATTCATCACATGGTTAAGAGCCCTCAGAGTATCTTTAATAAAGCTTAAGTGTCAAATAAACCAAGCTTTGAGCCTGGGAAAATTTTACAATAAGCAAAGCTTTATTTGTGTGATACAATCAGTGATGAGCTGCTGCAGTTGTATAATAAAGATGCACTGCTGAATGAATTTATGGCCCCTTCAAGTATGTTTACCATGTTTATGAGAAAAGTCCATTTCAAATGCTCACTTATGCAATATTCATGACTTTGTAAGTGGACCGACAGCAAAAGAGTTCGTAGGAGCTCTATGCTCATTTTTAAAATTTCATCTTTAGGCAGCACTTGTAATCGACTATGCAGATATGCTGCATGGGTAACAAATGGTCTTCTGCTTATGAAAACAAACACTTAAAATAAACGAGGGAAAAAAAACTGTCATAAATACTGACTGAAAATGTACAGCAGCAGATATTTTAAAATTCAAGGTCTTCGATGTTTCGCTTTCTCCACGAGGACAACTTGATTTCTGTATGTAATGTTGAGAAAACAGGGTTTTAAAAGAGTGTGCACAAGTATTTTCTTCAAGTAAAGAGAGTCCTTGAAGAGAGTTTTCTCACTCTCTTAAGTGGTTTGAAATTCTATTAACACTTTCACCTTGGCCACAGTGTACTTTACAATATATGAATAATGTTTAGCTGTTTTGTGCTGCCTTATCCTGAATTAAAAACCATTAGCTATATGTAGGCCTGGATAATATGTAGAACATATATTGTTATAGCACCCTCAGTTTGTAACAATTCATTTACAATGTTGTCTTGAGTTCATACTTTTCATGCCATTGATCTATTTAGCCCTTTTGATGGAGTCTATATGCATTTAAATGCCCAGACCTGACACACATCATATTTCCCAAGATACCAAAGGTCACAGAGAGAGTCAGTAGCATAATTTGCACTCAAAGGATGTAGCCTTAGCCATACATTTTCTGAGACACGTGTAATCATTCTTTGACACTTGTAAAATCAATTGGTGTATGAATGAATGCTTTAAACTACTTGTGCTCTGTGGACCCTCGTGAAACATTAGTATCAATACAAGCTGAGAGTTTTACTACTTTAAATAATTATTTTCAATTTGAAAGTAATGACAGAATTTGACCTCAATTAGTGGGAAGTATATCATTTTCAATTCAGCCTGATTTTGTATAACGACACATTACTGCAAAGGAAATTCCCCATTAAAAAATCTGACGAACTTACTTAAAAATATTTTTTAGCAGAGATGCAGTGATAAAAAAATAACACAGCTGCTTCTTGATTTCTTATTATGTAAAGCTTAGAATTACAACTTTTTGGGAAAATTGAAAAATTAACCAATTTCACAAAGTACTGAATGTTAAATTACTGGTACAGAGTTGTGTCTGTCTGTCCTGCTGGACATCTAAAGCTGTAAAATTCTTTAGATTAATGCATATGCACTCTATCAAAGCATAATCACTTTTTTAAATGTTTTGTAAAATAAATAAAATGTTCGTTTAAATAATTATTAAAGACCAAAATATCCGCTTTAACTGTCATGCAATTTTTCCATCATTAATTTATGAATTGCAAGAAGTTTTCAATTATGGACATTTTGTCGTTATAATTGATTATTACAATATAACACTAAAAAATAATGCTGAATTTTTTGATAAATAAGTACAATTAAAAATAAATAATCCAAATTGCATTTTCTTCTTCAAGACTGCTTATTTTGTAAATTAATTAAAATGATAAATAAAACAACATTAGGCATTTCATTTGTAAAAATGTTGCAGCAAAAACTGAGCAAAATTAATTTAAAATGTTAAATTAGAAAATTAAAATGCATTAACAAAAAGTCCTTTTCATTTTCAAGTCATAGTGGCCTTTTTTGACTCAAGTACGTAAAATTAGCCATAGTAACATTAACTGCTCAATTAATGATAAACAAAATAACAATTAATTTTTAAAAGATGTCCCAGCAAAAACTGACCAAGTATAATTTTGAAATTTCAAATTTCCAAAATTAAACAGAAATGCTTTTTACTTTTAAACGATTTCATCAAAATAAATTTAAAATTGTAAACATTTTAGTAACTTTTCAACCGTCAATAAATATTTTCGTACTTTTGTGATTTTATGTCGTCTTAAAACCACTTCACTGACACATCTGCCATAGTCTGAGGGTGGCTTAAAGGTGGTGTTCGGACACAGCCTGTATATTGGTGCAAATTGAGCAGGGTTGATATTCCGGCAATGCGG